CGTGTCAGTGAATCTACCTTCACCAAGGATCGAGATCAGTTATTTGAAATGGTCACCAAAATGTTCCCCAGCTTTATTCACCTTCCCAGCCTACAAAAAACTGCATTTCTATTAACACCTCCCAATTCATATGTCGCAAAATGTCTTTCATTTCATACTCCACTGCACACGGAAAAGAAATCAAACCCAACAATAACTACAAATGTATATATAAAGTAGCATTAGCATAACTTATTATCATTCTACTGTTTACTGTTGTTATCATGTTCTTGCAATTAGCCCTCGGGCATTAATTTGCAATACACTTTCAGATAATGATGGACACATTATACCTTGCAGTACTGTTTCAAACAGACCGATAACTACTATTCTGTTGACAAACTCTCAAACTCCTCTCGGCACTTGCATACTAAGGTTGAAATCCTTTAAAGCCTTCTGAGGGGTATTTACGCACCCCAAAGCAGGTTCGGGCGAAGTTCAAGGCCCTGAAACACAAGTATCATAAGGCCAATGAGGCAAACCGTAGAAGCGGTTTGGGGAGGTCATCATAGGTCACTGTGGGTCAGAAACATCCTGCGCCACGGGCGGCCCGAAACACTTCCGCCTCTGTGTCTAAAGACGAACCGTTTTCTGTGGCGAAACGTTTCGTACCGTTTCGAAACGGTATACCGTTTCTTGTCTAAATCGGGCCTAAAACACAAGTCATGAAACAGATTTTGTGTCGGTATTTTCGGTGAGCATCCATTGTGATTTCTGTTTCCAAGTGACATTTTTTGTAAGCAGAAAAAACGAAGGATGCGGCGGGGGGGGGGGAGGCAGTATTGATTGGGGATGGGGGTAGCTGAAAAGACGCTAGAAAGTACGTAACTTCGTAATCAACTTTGACACGAAGTAGTGCGGCGTTTGCCCGTATAACACAACAAGTGCTGTCTACTGGCCTTGACAGGACGATTTAGTGTTGTTTTTCTCACACGCGTTCTGGCAGAACAACTTCTGTCAACGTTCTGTTGATGACAAATATATCTTATGACCCCCAGTGTCGAGATAACGTCTGTTGAGGAACAAGCTCTTTGTTTTATGTTACCACTAAATCTGAGCGGAATTAGGGAAATACGGATCCCGAGGCGACGGACATCGCTTTTCATGTGCAAAGACGTAATTTTCATGTCAGGGAATCTATCTTCGCCTAAGTTCGGGGAATGTGTGTGTTTGTTTGTGTGTGTGTTTGTGTGTGTTTGTGTGTGTGTTTGTTTGTGTGTGTGTTTGTGTGTGTGTGTGTGTGTGCTTGTGCGTGCGTGTGTGTGTGTGTGTGTGTGTGCGTGTGTGTGTGTGTGTGCTTTCGTGTCTGTGAACACCTGGCCGAACACCAGGGAGCAAATATGAGGGTCTCTGTTCAACCATGGTTCATTTGTCATCGGGCCGTTAAACCCTTGGGTAAAATTTACTAAGGTTGCTTGAACACAATTGGACTACAAATATACCATGGCATTATTAGTTTTTCTGTCATCAATACAAATTTTAATATTCTCCTGATTAACCGAGCTTAAGGAATCTATACCGTCGACACAATTTAAAAACTTATCTAGCTGAACACACCTTTAAAATTGTATAATTTGGGACTTTCAGGTCAAAATTTACTGTATAGTGGGGGTGTGACAAAGGGGAATGGAATGCAGGGAAAGAGCAGCGGGCAATAGGCATGCAGCTTTCCTCTATTATTCACAGCATCTTTATTTAATCGTTAAAACACTTTTAAAGGCCTACTGTGTCAAGTGAATAAACATAGCTATTGTACGTAGCTTAAGAGATACAGTGAACTCTTTGAAACAGAGAACTAAACCAGAGCTGCGGCTAAAATCATGTTGGATTTCTGCATCTGACTGTTGGGGTGTAAAGGTGATGTGTTTTTCAAGGTCTTTGTCCCCGGGGAAAATAACAGTGTCCAAATGTTTCAAACAGGTACTTTTTGTGGTAACACGCAAGGCTTTGATTCTAAAAAAAGCAGATCCAGGCTGCTTCCTAGGCGTTGCGTTACAGACATCTATCACACATGCTTCAAATGTGTCACCCTGTTCTGAAGAGTGGCTTGTAACGCCAAACCCCCCGTCTCCTTCTTGTGTCATTTCAGAACTAAAAACAGAAGTTAGTTATTCTATAAAGTCAGGCTCTTGTCTGTGACGAAGAATCATTTTCAAACACCTAAAGGTTTTCTTAAAATCACGCAAAAGTAAAATGGTGGAAATGTGTGCTTTTCTAGAAGATCGAAGCTATAGTCTACTATGTTCCGTTCCTCCTACATCCCTGTTACTTATTGAATCTCAGAGGCACTCATCATACCTATAAAAGAAGAAGCCAAACCCAACAAAACTAGTACCACGTATGTGTATACTGTAGAATGTAGCACAGCGTTAGACGTAGTATCTTGTACTTTGTTATGTTGTTTGTACTTGCCAATAGTGCTCGGGCATGTATTTTAAATTATAATCTTTACATTATGGGATGTATGGGTTTTCTTTTACACAACCAAACTATTCCTACAGTGTACCTTGCTTCTGACTGGAGTTCTGCTTCTCGCCACCATATGTACCCTAGGTAGGTGGTGCTTTTGCGGCGAGAAAACAATCTCACACTGGCGCATACAGAGGGCGTACACTAAAATAGCTTTGTTTGTCACGCTTGGTCTGGTTGACATCAAAACCCACAAATTAAATCGCGGTCGATGCTGACTTACCTGTGGCAGTGATAGCCACAGTATTCATTCCATCTGGTACACCGCTAGTTTCTTAGGTATGCCATGTTCGCCATGAAGAAAGGGTTTACAAGACGTGACCGACAGGTATATCTGAAAGGTGAAATTCAGAACAAAAACTTTCAATTACAGGGGTCTTATACCACAAGCTCTATAGAACATTCTTGATTAGAGTTTGTGTGCGTGTTCTATAGAACGTCCTTGCTCTAATCGAACACGCACCAATACATGTGTCGCAGAAGGGGGGGGGGAGGTGCAGCCAAAGTCGAACTGAGCCTGCTGTTACGTCAGTCAGTCAAGTTTATTGCACAACAATTGCATTTGATACAATGTATGGCAAGTAAAACTTAATAACTATAAACTATTTCTACTAGTGTACTAATCTAATTTCAATGCATGTATATATGTTTTAATAATGGAATGTTACATTTCACATTGCAGTGACAAGGTTTCTCTTTTGTATAGCAGTATGTAAATATTGGCCTAAATAAGCAGATACAGAGTCGGGGCATGATAACAATATGTTGAAAATTTCTCTACTTGTCCCAGGTAGTGTTATTACTCCGTGAAGGAGGTCAGGACCTCCGGACGGAGTGTTGTAATCGGCTGATTTTTCATGTTCGCAGTCAAAACACTGGGTTCTCTTTGTGTAATCGGCACGCAATTTTATACGCCGTCTGCGGGCATGCCCGTGTTGATGCACGAATGTGTATTTTTGCCGTTGCTGCTTTCGCGGTCAATGTAATATCGCAGACGCACCCCTACAATTACGAGGCGAATTGGAATGGTCCAGAAAAACGCGTTGTTTGGAATAGCAGTGGGAGATGTAAAAGTTCATGCAGATACGGGGTGGTTTTTATAAGTGGTTCCAGATGCTTTTGCCCATGGTTAAGAGATGCCAAGTTTTTTGGAAGATGTTCGCAGCCAAAACGCATTCTTCCGTACGTCGCATTTCTGTGTAATTTCGCATGTGGTGTTGCATTATGTCCGGGATGATGCACGTCTTTTTATTTTTACCGTAGCTGTTTTGATATTGAAGTAAATGCATATTTTAGAAACATCCCTACTTTTACAATCCTGTGGAATAGGCCGTAGGTTTAGGCACTTGTCTGGTAGCAGAGGTACCCTAAGCAGATATGCTGGTTATCTGGCCGGCGGTAGTAACACTCGCGGTGCTTACCGCAACTGTTGCTGGAATTTGGCTTGTTCCAGGCGCGCTTCATTAGGTACAGGCACGGTAAAGCTAAGGTCCCAATTGGGAAAAGGGGTCCTGGCGGGTAGTTCCCGGGCTGTTTTTTACCACTTTCGGGCGGGACCCCGACGTGGCCCCGCGGGGCACCCTGCGGCTACCGGGCTATTTGTTGGCCCGTCGGGTCCCCGATAAGAATTTAATTCTGAGTTAAATTCTACCCGGGCCCCGCTGACAAAAAGACGCCGTGACCTCATCGTGAGAACACCGAGAGGTACCCCTCCGGTTGCCGGCATTCCACCGGGACACATTTCTTACGTCACAGACCAGATGAACAGAATAAAGGTGTGTACTTCGTAAACCCGGGTAAAATGTGTGACCTCACAGATCAAATGATCACAACAAATACGTGAATTCTGCATTACTTATAGGTCAAAACATCGTCAGAGAATCTGCTGGGTACCTGCCGGGTGCCTGCCGGATACCGACCAAAGAGGGTGACAAAATTTCTAACAAAATGCTACTGAAGGAAACTTTTAATTGTGACCACGACAGCCGGTGCCCGCTCGACTCCTGAGTCCGACCGGGGCCAGCCGGGGCTACATCCCCGACGGGCACCGGCGTAATTGGGACCTTAGCTTAAGACGGTGGGGCTGTCTTTGTTACTAGACACGACCATGATAGTCCGATCGTTATGTGAATGCAATGATTGTGTGTGTGTAATTAAAATGAACTTCGAACTTGAAGCACAGTATCTTTACACGCCCTGGGAGCAGTAATGGATTTAGCTCTTTGTATGTTTTATGCTTGTGACGCGCCCTCATTGTATTAACCGTTGCCTAATCATAATGTCTGCACAGTAGGTCTGGCGTTGACGCTTGGGATTTTGTTGAAATATATAAAACTTCACGGAGGATTGTCACCTATGGCTTCTTGTTCTATTTTTACATGATATCATTAGTTTTTTCCTTTCTTCGTTATAGTAGGGACATATCATTACAAAATATATATGGTACTCATCTTCAACTTTGTCTTTGCAGGCAGGACACATTCTTTTCTCGGCTGGTATCTTTTTGTGACGACCCTTCTCAATTTCTAGGCAATGTGCACTAATTCTCAGTTTTGTAATACTAGATGTAAAGGATTTGTTTCGGATCACCGAGAGGTAATTCTCCATGGTAAAGGTTTTCTTGACTTTGGAGTATGTCTCAAGTTTACTGAAGCTCCTTATCTTTTGTCTCCAGTTGGAAAGAAATGTGTCCTTGAGTCGTTCCTTAAACAAGTTTCCAAAATAGTTGGTGTCTACATTACAGTTAAGCCAAATATTTTGAAAACCATGTCTGCATAATATATCTTGTACATGGGAAGCCCCATCATGTTCTTGTACAACAGCAGTATCGTAGGCTTTCTTAACAATTCTATCATTACACATGTTATTTAATCTTAACCAGTACTTAATCAGTCTCGTTTGAGTGTCTATGTACAATGGGAAAATACCTAGCTCGCCCATTACAGCAGCATTAACAGAGTTTCTGGGCACACGAAGTAATATTTTACAGTAGTTGAGCAATACATGTTCTAAATCGGGAATTTCATAACAAATATTGGGTTACACTTGAATGATATATAACATTCATTTTATCCGTATATTTTCTAAGTCGAACAAGCACAGGACGGGCGGTCGATGTATCAGATTTCTTTCCTACACGGATCGACCTAATTATATATGTGTTTACATCTGGTCCTAATATTGGGGAAAGGGTGTTGGATACTAATTCTCTAATATTTTCATTTTGAGATTCCTTGATTCCCCTGAGAATAATCTCTTTGCTTTGAGCGTTTGTCCCCAGTATTTCCCCGCAATACAGTAATATAGGCTTGACGAGGCTATTGAATAGGTCCAGGGCGAGAGAGATTGACGGATTGTGATTTACGTGACAAAGATTATGGGTGCGGCTACATACATGTATGAACATGTCACATAATGTAGCTCACGTCACCATGCTGATCGTGGTGGACACATTATACCTTGTAAGCTTGCAGTTGTAAACAGACCGATTACCGCCATTCTGTTTGATAATTCTCGCATTTTAGGATTTGAAAATCCTTAACGATATGTCTTGAAAGTTAAACGACATCCTAGTGAAAAGGGGCCTTTATAAGAAGGCCCTAGTGAAAAGGGGCCTTTACAAATTGCGGCACATGGGGGCTAACGGAACAGTTAGCCAGAAAGATCGTGCTTGGCACAGGAAGCAGTTAAGACGCTTAGCTGGATATTTCCACCCACACCACATTAGGAACTCCAAGCTGTACAAGATCTGCAACTCTTCTCCACTTCAAAATGAAGTCCACCGTCGCGGATGGACTCTCTTTGGGCACATCCTTCGCATGCCACCTGACTCACCCGCACAAAAGGCCCTCAACATCGCCTTTAGCAGAAAGCTCGCGCCAAGGAAAGGCAAGCCCCGCGGAGGCCTTCTGGACTGTCTGTTAGATGACACAAAGCTGTACTTCCTGCAGAACATTAAAGATGAGACCTACGCACTCAGGTGGCTACGAGACCAGGCCAGACACAAGGAAACGTGGACTGGACTGTACAAGAACATTGAGGACTCACACTGCTTTGGTGTACAGATCCGGCGCTGCCTTAGGGCATAGCCGTAGATTTGTGCCTGAGAACAGTCATTTATTATTATTTATATATTTATTATAAGATGTTACAATCAAAACCCATGTCAGAAACAGATTTTGTATTACAGTTGTGCCTCACTTTTGATTTTTTTATTTGTGATCTAGGCAGATAATACCGAAGG